ATGGATGGATGGATGGATGGATGGATGGATGGATGCATCCATCCATCCATCCATGCATGCATGCATGCATGCTTTATCAGTCGGGGGGGGGGCATTCAAGAAGGTCAATAGCATTTCTGATACAGCTTTCTGAGAAACTGATTTTTTTTTTTTTTTTTTTTACTTTTTTACATAAAATATTGTTTTGTTTGTAAACTGTCTGACTCTTCAGACACTAATAATCACACTGACATAGACGTGAGGATCATGGGCTTTGCTTGATCCTGTGCAGTAAAGTGAATAATCCAGACATTTCTGTTGGTGTTTTGTCTCACTGTTCAGATCATCAGCTACACCAAAGGATCCGTGAACCTGGGCTCCTCCCAGTTCAGGGGCCGTGCTGGTTTTGTTGCCAGCATGCCATCACAGGACGTGTCTCTGTACATCAACAACACCCAGGAGTCGGACTCAGGACGGTACTTGTGTCAGGTCATCGTTCCATCTGTGTCTCCTGTGGAGTTTGATCTGGATGTGAGAGGTAAGAAAAATGTTTTCTGTGAACCGTTGGATTCAAACACCATGCTGTAAACCAGTCTGTTTGTCTTTCAGTCCCTCCGTCTGTTCCTAAGTGCTCTTTGTCAGAGAAGCCGGTCCTGAAAGGAAATGTGACTTTAACGTGCTCGTCCGGTACTGGGAAGCCCATCCCACTCTACAAGTGGAAGAAAACCAGCCCCACCTCGGAGGTCTTCTTTTCACCAATGCTCAGTGAGTGGACGTCGCTCTGAAACAAACTGAGTGATATGATGCAAATATGAACTCGCATACGATGCATTTGCATGCTTTCATTTCAAACATTCCCTAATTTGTTTACTTGTTGGAGAAAAACAAGGTTACTCTTGAACATTTGAAAGACAAAACATTTTATCTTCCAAATATTATTTTACTGGAATAAACTGTTGAAAGTTTTCTCTGGAGTACTTAATGAAATTCATAGATTCATCTTTTATTTCTACAAGTTAGTCTTATTGAGCCTTGAGGACTCATTTACAAGAGATACCTGTTTTTAACAAAGAACACAGATGAGGTACAGACAAGAATAGACAATCATATAAAAGCTTATAAAATGAAAAGTAAATAGAAGAAATTAAATACAAACTAAACAAAAACAGCTATATTATGAAGTGATGTAAAATACTAAAAACAGGAACATGTCTGCGCTGGTTTTTCCCATGAACTTAGCAGATGTTTAAAATCCCTCAGAGAGGTCAAGGTCAAGAGCTTCAGATCTTTTTACAAGGAGTTACAGGTTACAGGAGCAGAATAAGAGAAGGCCTTTTTGCTTAGTTTTCTATTTTTATTTCCAGGTTTAATCATTGGCATCAGAAGCATTTGTAATGTGGGAGGGGGTCTGGGGGTCCTCCCCCAGAAAATTGTGAATAAAGCAGATGCCATTTCCTGCATTCTGATGTATTTTAACGGATTGTTAAACATCTATGGGTGCATTCACACCAGCCCTGTTGTCCCGAATTCTAGCCCATTTGCCTAGGAAGTCCGGTTCATTTGGGGAGGTGTGAACGCGCCATCGAACTCTGTCACGGAACAAAAAGGCGAACTCTGGCCTGGTCTAAAACCTAGGTCTCGGTCCAGTAGAAGAAAACTCCAACGCGGTTCAAGTACAGTGTGAATGCAAGCAGACCGGGCCTTGCTCCATAAGCAAGAAGTGTACAGCGCAGGGCAAACAAACACGCATTTCTCTTACCTCATATTGAGCTGTCAGCTGCCTTGTGTGAAAAACAACATTCTCCATGGTCTTCTGCCTCATCTTCCGCTCATGCTGAGTCTATTTTTGAAAAAAGACAAAATATAACTCCTAAAACTGCTAAGATTTGACGCCACTCCGTTTTTGTTTTTATTTCCAGAAGAAGTATCTTCTTCAGAGGTTTTTGTGTCGTTTCTTTCATTAGTTCTTGGTGCAGCGCCACCACAGGCGAGTGGGGGAACAGGTTGGTTCAAACAGGTTGGCTCGGCTGTACAGTGCAGTGTGAATGCAAATGTTGGTTACGTACTGTAACCCCAGATTCTATGAGTATAGGCACAGCCCTTTAAGGCTATCGCTAGTGGGTTTATCCCTTCGCGTGCAGCACTGAAAACTTTAGTCCACGCCCACCTGCTGTGTGGGCCTCACCCCCGGTCCGTATAAATTACGTTGAGACCGTGTAATCGGCTCCCAAATAGCTTTTTTCTTCAGCCATTTAGGAACCAGTGAGGCCCAGAGCTTAAAGGGCTGCGCCTATACTCATAGAATCTGGGGTTACAGTACGTAACCAACGTTCTATTTCGTATAGGCTTCGCCCTTTAAGGCTATCACTAGTAGGTTAAAGGCGAAGAAGGATGTAGTCTATGCCTCACTGGATCCACTCGGACACAACATGAAGCACCTGCTTGCACAAAAAAAAAAACATTTCACCACTCAGCCTTCTGTGGGCGTAATTACGTACTGCGTAATTGCATGCTCCATGCACAGAAGCGCACCGGATTAAAGATCTCTAGTGAGGAAAAAAGGCTGAGATAGCAGACCTGCTGCTGTGAATAAGAACAACGGAGGATACGAATTGTAACAGTGTAACGATGAACAGAGCAGACCAACAGCTCCTCAGGATGAACTGATTAATAACGATAAAATCAGCAGTCATGAACTTGTGACTGATAATAAATATTTCACACTGCAACTGCCTGCAGGCAGGTGTGAGCCCAAAAGTGAAGCTCCATGAAACAAATAATAATAATCATTCTGTCAGAACCCTGAGAACAGAATGGGTAATGGACAAAGTAGAAACATCACGTAGATAAAACGAATAATTGAACATGGCGATGACCAGGCAGCCGCCATACAAATATCCTCCATTGTCATCCCTCCATGCAGAGCCATGGAGGATGAAAACCTTCTGGTGGAGTGTGCTCTGAGATTCTCTGGAGGGTCCAACCCAGATGAACTATAAGCTTCAGAAATAGCCTCACACAACCAGTGTGAGAGGCACTGGGTGGATAGAGGGTGACCTGAAGAGCTGTCCCTGTAATGCACGAACAAACGCTGAGAACGGCGCAGTGCGGCCGTGTGTACCACGTAACACTAAAACGCGCACACGGGACAGAGGAGGTGAGATGTTGCTTCCTCTTCAGAATTATGAGGAGGAGCGTAAAACCCATCCAAGGTTATCACTCTCGATTAGAATGAGCTTGTGATGCTTTTCAGAGCAGGGTTAAAACGCAGTACAGCTGAACTGCCGGCAGCTTGAATTCTGAGACATGATGGAGCAACAGAGATAGCAGATGATCACTCACTCTCTTTGCCAATGTCAGAGCTAACAGCAGGGCTGTTTTTAATGACAGAAATTTAAGTGAAACCTGATTTAAAGGCTCAAAAGGAGCTTTGATCAGAGCGTGCAGGACCATCATTAGGTCCCAAAGTGGAGCTAGTGGACGTGACACAGGTCTGTGTCTCTGTACACCTTTCAGAAAACGCTTCATCAGCGGGTGGTTAAGAACTGTTCTGTCACTGAAAAACCTCATGACAGGAAGAAATAGCTGCAGCATAAGTTTAAATTGTGCTGAACGCTAAATTTCTGTCCATCAGTTGCTGTAGAAATGACAGCATGCCACCTAGTGGACATGAGATGGCCTCCACGCCTTTCTCTGCGCACCAGTGCTGAAAAACGGTCCACTTGATGTGTACAGCGTTGTTGTAGAAGTAGCTCGTGTGCCCTGAAACGTACACACCACATCTTGTGGAAGGCCCATCTTTTTCTAAATGGATCCGTTCAGCGGCCAGACCCAAAGGTGCTGACCTATTTCTGGGTAACTCCTGATCGCTCTTCTTGCTTGGAGGAGGGTGCCCCCACCCCCCACTAGGGCATTACCAGAGTACTCGAGTAATCTACACATCGATTGCTAGGACCTCTATCGAGGTTAAAAATGTAATGTCGAGTAACCGTAGTGACGTCATATTATGTGACCACCGTATGACCATAGGGGGCGGTGTTGCACTGTTGCAGGTCACAGAGTATGGTGTAACACCGGGTCCAATCCACCGCCCATCCACTGTTTTAAGTTTCGTTTCTGACGTGCTGCATGCTTCTTCACGTTTGCAGTTTAATAATAATAACTAATAGTTTAGTTTTTCCTGTGACTTATTTGCAGTATGATAAATGGTTGGAAAATAATATACGCTCCTAATGTTTTGTTGGTAATTTTTTTTGTAAATAATTACCTTTTATTTCGGTTTTATTTATTTATTTATTTATTTTTGTATCTTGAGATCTAGGACGTCATCAAATACTCGAGTTCTACTCGGGTTTTATTATGTTAATGTTGAGTTTAAAAATTATATACTCGTTCAACCCCTACCCTCCACCCCCCGCGGCAGTTTCCACGGCCGACCCGATATCAGTCGCTGCAGATTCGGGAACCACGGAGCACTTATGCGCTCGGGAGTTACGAGGATGACTGACAGTTCTTCCTCCCGGTCCAGGGTCCTTGATATCAGCAGGACTGGGGGGAACGCATAAAGGAGCATTTTTGGCCAAGGGCTGTGAGCGAAGGCGTCCACTCCTAACGGTGGGTTGTCGCGTGAGCTCAGTGAGAACCATAATTGACACTGGGAGTTCTCCCGTGTGGCGAACAGATTGTAGTGAACCTAACCTAAGGTCAAAACCCTTGACCTTAAGAACCTTGTGGGACAGAAACTGTCATTTCATTGATCTGCATCCAGAAATACAGTTTGACCCATCCTGAGACTTTCTTTCTTGAATTAATCAAGTAGAAATGACAATTCTCTATGATCATTACTATTTTACAAATGTTTTGATAATCAAATTGTGTTAGTTCAAACAATGTTTACAGGTTGAAGAGAACTACTCATTTTTATTTACATAAACAGTAAGTAATGATTTTTATTCCTCATTCAAAGAAGAAATCAGGGTAATATGCATTTCTTGATTTTTCTGTCTTCAATGAGCAAGTCTGTAAGTGTGTGTCAAAGTTCAGGCTTCGGTCAACTAAAAAGTTTACTGAAAAGAAATGTCATGTTTAACTTTTACAGCAGATACTAGGAGAAGAGACGCCACTGAGACTGGTTTTCTCCAATAATCTTTCTGTCTGTTTTAAACAATCCTTGACTTTCCATAACACCTTACATCACAAACCACACCTCTGTTCTGGTCCATCGACCAATCAAAAAGCTCTCAAATGACCCGGAAGTCGAACCCATTTAAATGTGGCGACTTTCCAGTTCAACAGGGGAGTTTTTCAGAGCTTGAAAGTTTTTCCTGGAGAAGAGTTCCAGACTTTAACTCTCTGAAGAGAGTTAAAGAGTTCAGAGTTCTTGGATGCTAACGCAGGCGTCCAGGATGCTTCTATTGGAATCCAGAATCCAGAGACGATTTTGGGAATTATAACTTCTGTTTGGATAACCTCACACGACTCCTAAAAGTATTTTAGCTGTTCTCAACGGAGACGCTGAAAGAGTCAAAAGAAGGACTTCACGCCGACCTGATCTATCATCAACCAGGTAAAAGTTCTATTTCGACCAAGCGTACCGTGGCCAAGCTGAGATCTGAAGGAGCGTGCACGTTCTGGTCAAACAGATAAATTCCCTCACACATCTCTCTGTAAGATAAATCTCCATTTTCCATCTTAAACTCTCCTTTCTCCTAAAATCATTACAGATATTTTAGAAATGTCTGAAGCAAAGTTTCTCAATCACCGCC